ACCGGTTAAGGTATTGGGTCAGTGGGTCAAAGGTTGAACCGGTGGGTCACTGGTTGAACCGCATGACTCAATTTTTATTAAAAAATATTCATATTAAATATTTTTATACTTATAAATTTTAATAAATTCATATCTTATTTTAAATTTCAATTTTTCTATCTTATTTAAAATTATTTTTATTTTTATTTTGTAAAAAAATACATAAAAAAATTACATGTTAAACGGTATATTAATACAAATTAAAAATATAAATAATATGTACATATATAATATGCTTGCAATTAATATCACAAAATAATATATGTAATATTTACATAGATATTGAATTATTAAATATATAATTTAAAATTAATAATATACTATAAAAGTTATTTAAGTTGTATATATTGCAAACAAATATATTAGAACAAGTAGTCATTGTTATATTTAATAAGACTCCTTACTTTTTCATTAAGAGATTCAATTTTCATTATTATTTTTGTGATTTATGGTCCCTTAAAAAAATGAAGAAAAAAAAAGTGGTTGAACCGGTTTGGCCCACCGGTTCACCGGTTGACCCAGAAAATTGACCGGTTCAATCCGGTTTGAAACGGGTCGACTGCATAACCGATCCAACTTCAGATTCAGACCGGCTGGACCCCCGGTTCCCGGCCCGACCGGGCCGACCGGCCGGGGCGGTCCGGGTTTTAAAACACTTGTTTGATCCTCGTGTTAGGGTTACCATTTTGGGGAACGGTTTTGTCTGTACTTGATCGACACTAGGGAATATTATTTTTGGGATGACTATACATATATGGCGTTCTATTTTGTATTTAAGAAACTTAGTTATTTTTTCTTATCTATACATGTATGTATGATTTATCCAACTTAATATTTCTCTTAATTTATTAGTAGTAGCTAGTGCGATTTCACCAAGTATAGAGACCATGGCGGGTCGTTACAAAGTGCATATGCATATTCAAGCTAAGAACAGAAATGAGAAACCAATTGAGACAAGGATTTTTGGTTAAGTATAAGGTATTTATATATATATGTGTAGGAAACTCATGCCTAAATGTAAATCATTTTGGCATAGCAGTGCCGAAAGGTGTTGCTTATTGTGTATAACAAATGAGACTGAAGCTTTTCAGAAACTATGGGGGCTATGCATACTAAAGGTAATAACTCTTCATCTGGTTCACTTTTGCTATTTTCAGAAACATACATTTTTGTTTTTATGGAAAAAAAATAAAGTATTTAACTTAAACTTATCCAAACATATCTTTCCACGTAATTATGTTCGACAATATTTAGGGACAGTTTTTTTATGTTTTTTTTTTTACATCTATCAATCAATAATAAATATTTGTTCCACTTCTGTATATTGATTTATAATATTATACTATTATGAGAGTCATATAATGTCCTACCACATTTGACATTTTATGGGGTGTGGGATAAAAAATAATAATAATTAATTCTAAAATATAAATATATAATTTTGTTTTTCATAAACATGTCCACGTAATATCATAAAGCTCATAATTAAAGACTAATATGTGATGCAGTGATGCTGATCAAACATATATAATTTATTATCTTTAATTTTATTTAAATTGAAAAATACTCGTATAATAATACACCACCTAATTGTGTGCTAGTGTGTATATTATGAACATAAGATAAATGTATACTTAGGTTCATTTTGTGCATATATTGCAACTCAGAAGATATTGATGCAATGTAAGCAATGATGGTGATCTCTTGATTAATTATCTGAAATCTCATCAATTCCCATTCCTCAATCATCGCTCCTCTCAATTATTCATGCCTCTGTTGTCCACAGTCTTTATCAACTGAAAACCAGATATGATATGAAACCTATATATATCAGGATGAATTACCAGTGGATATCAATAATTAAGATGTCTGTAAAATAATAATCGTGATGGCAACACAAAACAGGAAAAACATTTTTATTATGATTTGATTCCCAGGTCTACAAGAAAGACAAATTCAGTTCAATGATTTTGTTTTTGAATGAAAATATTTTGGGCTATTATTAATATCCACCTAATACTCTTGTTTTTCTTCATTTTTATCTTCTTTTCACTTCTTATCACAATGTTAGTGATTTTGAAAGATACATTTAATTTATATATAAAAAAAAAAGTTGATAATTTTCCAACATTTTAAATAGACAGAAAAAAAAAAGCAAATCTATAAAAGTAAAAGGCAATCCCTGTTGGGGAATGAAAGAATCTCTTTACTGGTGTAGGCACTAGGTAGGACATTTTTGTGTCAGTTCAATGTTCTGGTTCGCCGACAAATAACTAACACACAGTAATTAAGATGCAAGTAATGTCAATAAGAATATGCTTTTTAGTAGGCTTTATAATCAACGTTGGAGGAAAATAATCATTAAACCAAGGTTGTTTTAACCACATGATTTTACGAGGTAAACTAACTATTGCACATCCTCTTGCAAAGAGTGCAAACATTCTATGCTAGCATTAATACATTGTGCAGAATAATTCATCAGGGTGTGCAAATTTGTTTATGTACTGTGTAATTATGCAAAGTATGAACTATAATTTAGGAAGAAAAAAAAACACTTTCAAGCAAAAGTTTCCCTTATAATTTATGAATTTTTTTTTTGGGAAAAATACCTTCCTTTAAAGTTACAAAAAATTTTACTCAAAACACAGTTGAATAGAATTAAATATAAATACAGGTGATTGCATAATAAAAATGTAAACTTTGATTCATGAATCATGATGTTATGGAGAAAGAAAGCGATAACACGATGATACTCATGATATGTGAAATCCGCGTAAAGACCTAATTCAAAGACACTAACCTAAATCCGCGTAGATTCTCTATTAGCTTTTTATTTATATAAATATTCTCTATTAGTCTCTACAGAAATATTTAAAAATATTTTTTTATACTTCAATTTTTAATAACCATCAGATATTAATTCAAAGGCCAAGATCATTGCTGCAGAGACAGCACGAACGCAGAGGATCTAAATGGGTTTTTTTTATACCCAAGGGGGATATATATATTTTTTATTTTCAAAATAAGTAAATTTTTTTAAAAGAAATCCAAATTGAGATAAGTCCTTTTTAAAAAAAAAAAAAACACGACTTAAGATGTTATTTATATATCCTTTTATTATGACTGTTACATTTTGTAGAAATTGTGAAAGTAAACATTTTTCGGTTTGAAAAGTCGAATATTGAGTAATAACTTCAATTATTTTTACTTTTTCAATTGAAAATAAATTGAATTGAATTCAATTCTTTTAGAAGTCATGATAGGACCAGAGACTTCACCTTTTTGTTTTACAACGACTTATTATTATTTTTTTATATGACTTATTATTGTTTTCTGGAATTTTTTTTATCAAGTTCTTTTGTATTTTCATTTTAAAATTTTATTTATGATTTCAATTTTATTTTTTTTAAGTATTTTAGAATTTGGTGATTTTTTTTCTAACATTACGAAATTAATATTTGTTGTTTATAGTTTATTAATTAATATTATTTATTAGGCATTTTTCCTTAAAAGATAATTTACTATATTAAATTAATTAATCTTTTGATTCTCCAATAATTCATTTTACATGAAAATAATTCAGAATTTTTTAAAATGTTAAGCAAAATTTTAAACTAAAACTAACTTGCAAAACTAAACATAGACAAAACACTTGAATTAAATAAAATATATATAAGACCTTCATTCAGTCCACGACTTCAATATAAAATAGAAAATATAAAACAAGTCTTTATCGTCAAAATGCATTTCCAACCTTGTCAGCATTATGATGTCTCTAAAATCTAAAGTTAAATTAAATATATTTATTAATTTGTGCTAAATAATTAATAACAACTACTTAAAGAAAATATTAAATGATTTTTAATTTTATTTAGAATAATTTGTTTTATTTTTAACACGTGTCCTTTTTTTTTTTTTTTGTAAATAAGAAGATTAATTAGAAGGGGAAGTTAATTCTAATTTCTTTTTATATTCCAATAATGCATATGCCATTGATGAAGGTTTAAAATGATTATAATAATATGTAATCTTAGAGAGATTGCTTACAGCAAGAACCAAACCAAGTCTTTTAGCAAAACATATGAAAGAAATATGTATATATATCATATATTTAACCTAGCTAGCTAAGAAAGATACAATATTGTGTCTTGTTAATGTCTCTTGAGAGTTGAGATGCATGAATAGACGGAAGATTCCCCGTTGAAAATAAGGAGGCCAAGCTGCTAAAAATGAATATTAAAGCTTCATTAATCAAGCATTCAAAAATTCCACGTCTCTCTCTCAAATTCATATAATATTTTTAATTATGTGTTCATATATGATGAAGTTAAAGGTAACTGGTTTTATGAGAAAAAACTACGTATTTATTAAATGGAAAACGGAATCAATCAGCCCTTGAACACCTTTGAAAGAAAAAGAAAAAAAAAAGGAAAAGAAAGGAAATAAGCACCTATCTCTAGTGCATTGCTTTCCTCTCTTTCTGTGCTAGTTGAGCTTATTTCATTTTTTTAGGGTGAAGTCCGGATGAGTGAATAAAAAAAAACTAATTTAATTATAAAATAAATAATTCAAATTATATTTATAAAATGAAAAGTAAGATAAAATTATAGAGATTAAAATTATAAGATTTCAATATTTTCATAAAAAGTTAAAAAAGAAAAGAATTAATAAATAGTAAAAATAAAAAAATTATTAAAATTACAATATAGAAATTCAAAAATTTAAGACAAAAGACAAAAATATACTTAAAAAATTATTAAAATTAAAATATAGAAATTTAAAAATTTTAAGTGAAAAGACAAAAAATATACTTAAATTTTTTTTAAAATTAAACTATTTAAATATATAATAATATTATTACAAATAAAATTATAATATATAACTATACCGGTACTCTTCTAAATAATATGATATCGTAGAATTTTTTAAAAGGACTAGGAAATAATTTAAAAAGAGACCAATAGAATTAGAGAATAATTATTGGACAGTAATTATATATAAATATACAAATTGTACATCACTACATATCTCCCTCTACAAATGCTAAATGTATATGTATAGCCATATATTCCCACCCAAAAAATAATACTAAAACTAAAAAGCCTAATTAATATAACAACACTTGAACAATAGACCCCAACCATGGAACAACCATTCCCAATCCAAGCACGTGCCCTGCCCCCTAAAGCCAAACACCATCATCACATCACACATCAACAATTTCCGTAACTTGCGATATATGAACCATAAATTTATGTACATGTACACATTTCACTTTTTTTTTTCTTTTCATATCAAGACCACACTATTATTATCAACCTCGAATCTCATTCCGTCCATGTTGGAGGCCACGCCATCATCGAGATCCATGTCCCATAAGAACTCATAGCCATCATCACATTTGGGACTAATCTGAGTGACGGTGCTAGAGTTGGTGTTTGTTTCCCTCGAAAATTGAAGGAGACTCATCAAAGAGTTTTGGTTTTGGTTTTGGTTTTGATGATGATGATAATGATGATGGGTTCCCATTGAGGAGGAGAATGGGACAAGTTGGTTATACCCAACCGGTGTGGTTTGGTTTGTTGGTGATGACAAAGTTAGGGATGGAACCGTGGTCTCGTACATGAGTTTGGCACTGTTATCTGTTTTTCCTTTGTGAAACACTCTACACAAAACCCAGTCCTCCTGCAATCAACACAAAATTTGACCTAATTACCATAAATGAATGTGAACCCAAAAACACACGCTTAAAGAAACTTTATCCTCACACCCAAATTACGCGCCAAAGACAACCAACCATATATCTCTTCAAGAATATATTCTATTCTATCCAATTCAATCCTCACACTTACATAAGATGCTCACCCAATCATACCCACCTATCTCCAACTTTCACAACTTATTAATTACAACAATATATTTCAATTTTCGTACAAAACTAAGATATAGTATCATAACTCTTATTCATATTATTTTTTAATTAAAATTAAAATTTTATTTTTATAATATATATTGACATTTAATAAAATCTTTTATTATATATATATTATTAAGATGAAGCTTTAATTTTGATTAAAACAACATCATTAGTTTGTTAATTTACTTACAAACTTGTTAAAGATAAAAACAAAAAAGTTAAATTTATAGTATTGATTTTTTTTATAAAAAAAAGAAGAAAGTAATTATTAAGGAATCTTAGTCAATTCATGTAAGCGTTTCAACTGCTAATTAGTAAATTAAACTAGAATCATAAGCTTTGTACTATCTCTTACGTGGGAACTTGCCCTTACCCCACTATGCCCTAATCTCGTTCAATTATTCATCAAAGACTGTCATTCCTAATTAATGAAGTGGCCATTTACTATTGTATAAACGTGTAAACGGAAAGAAAACATTAATTAACATTCATTGCACGTTTGAAAATGGAGTGATGAAATTAAAGAGGTGAAAATCAACCTTAGGGGGCATGTGTGGCGTCTCCAAGCGAAACTCGTGCATGATCCAACCCGTTTTGATGCCATTGGGAGCTCTGTTCCTGTAGAACACCAACGTCTTCCTCATTCCTACAACCTCACGCGTGGCGGGGTCAAACACCGTACGATCCTTCCCCGTTGCTTTCCAATAGCCAGATGTCGTTGCCCTATTGGTCCGAAAACCGGTTGCATATTTACGGTCACGGAAGCTGAAGAAGTACCATTCGTTTGCATTGAGCTTAGCCACCTCTGAGGAGCACACATGCATGTATACATGATGGGTCAGTTTTGGTAGCAAATGGACAAAGCATGACTAATATAATAATAAGGATAAATTTTGCATAGGTTGATAGATATGTACTATCATTATGTACCATTAATTTTCTCCGAGAAGTATAATTATTACGATGATTATAATAATTAGGTCTTCTGAGTAATCACCATCACATGTCAGCTACCACATAAATTACATGCAATTTTCAATTTTGCAATCCAATCAGATAAAGATGACCTAAACACGTTATTTGCAAGTTTCACTATGTGTTATGTAATTGCGTAACTTGTGTGGTTTCTATCTCTGCTTTTTTACCACGTCATTAATTTATAACTAAATAAAAGGTGGTATTTTCTTTTAATTTATTGAGTGAACATATATTATGTATTATTCATACTATTTTCTAATTATATATTTATATGCATAAGAATATAACGAGACAAAATCACTTGGATAGGAAATACGCATGTACAAGAAAAGTGAAGTGATGAGAGATATAATATTTTTTTATACATGGAGATATTAATTTAATGTTTAAAAATACTCTTAAATTAGTTTTCAATTTATACACTTAAAATTTATATTACCTCCATCATAATAACATGTGTTGATTGCTTAACATAACAACTTTTTTTTTTTAAATAATTATTACCAATGTAATAAGTAATTGGTATATGTTATTATTAATTAATCAATGAAGAAATTAGTTTAACTAGTACACATACTTGTTTAGTTCGGTTTATTTTAAAATTTTGATCATTTATTTTTAATAAAAACGAGAGTTTTTAAAAATAAATAATATACACTACAAGAAAATTAACTCGTAGGAATAGATAAACTATCACTAAAAATTTGAAAATTTGTAGGTAATTATTCTTTTTACATTTGTTCACAGACAGACTATCCATCTATTATATGAGTTATATATATAATGAGATTTTGTAAATTTTCTTATGATAAATAGTTGTAAGTGCAAATATTTAAGTTTTATCTACATTAAATATTTGTAAGTCAAAATAATTTTTAAGATTATCTAGATGCATATATCATGTATAGTAGAATAAAATATTTATAGGTATATGACACTTTCCTTGATACTATTATTTTCCTCGAAAATATATTCCAAATAATATGCAATAAGTGATATATGTGTAATGTAGTGTAAAATTAAAGTGACAACCATTCTATATATATGCATGAATCAGACCAATATCCATGTAGAGGACACCATTAGGTAGTGTGTTTCTCCCTTGCATTGGTTTAAACAGATGTTTAATATATAAGTAATAATTTCCCACCAATTCTCAGAAACATAGCATTAGAACGCATGATGGGATGAATGAACAGAGAACTAAACACACAATATGCTGTTATAAATAATCAGAAACGACTCATCTCCAATCGTTGTTCTTTTCCTGGCTTCAATTGTAAAATAGAAATAGTACGTGGTTGATAAATTATAATAATATATTTCTCTTGTTCTTTTAAAGTGTTATTTTCTATTAGAAAAGTAGGAAATTAAGGAAACGTATTAAATGAATTTGGATATGTTACAAATGGTCGGTTACTGTACTTTATTCAAGCTATATATAGTAACTTTAATTATCGGAACACAAAATAGTTATAACGAAAGTTACTATTTATATTATTCATTTATAATCTAAGTAGATATAAAGCAATCTTAAATAATACCCAGACAGAATCTTTATGAACAAAAAGCCAAAACATTTGTATATGAATAAACAAATACTCGAGCTGTGCATGTGCAACCGGCGAACAATGTTTGGTGACAACGGTTTGGGTACTATGGTGGTGTAACTAACAATGCAATAGAGACGATATTTGTACATGTTGAAGAACCCTCATGTATAGATATAGGCCATGCATGTAAATCACATTTGTTTTGAAACCAAAATCAGATTGCATGAAATAATCGATGGACAAAAAGTAGGTTCTTGTACAATATAGGGTCTTATGCTTCAAGATAGGTATATCCACCACCTTTGTATAAAGTATATAAAAAAGGATAATATAATAATTAATTCCTCAGAAGAAAATACCGAGAAATGAAACTACAGCGATTCTTCTTAGTCTTGCACTACTTATTGATTATACTGTGGAGGAAGGGGAATGTTTGGTTAACACCAAACTCTAGTAGAAACTTAGAGAGGAGGTAGAAAAATAGATAAGTGTTGGTATAATATATAAGTGAAATGATGTGATAAAGAGAGAGAGAGAGATAGTGAAATAATTAATAAGTAATAATGGAGTATATAGAGTATAGAAGTGTCTGTGGATCATTACCACTCATGGATGAATAGCAATACTTTTATTGGGAAAAAAAGAACACTATTTATTGTACTGTAGAAGAATCAATTAACCGCAGAAATATAATGCTTGGTGAAATTGTTTTGACTGAGAAGAAAATGGTTGGAAATGGCCAGTATAAGGGAATAAATAAAATTAAAGAAAAAGAGGAATATAGAATCTGCACAGCAGGCAGACAACAAAAGTCATCGTTTCGATCTTCATATGGATATATTTGCAATAAAAAATGATTGTGTTTGTGACGCGCTTACAGCAAAAAAACAACTATATACAAACTTCAAAAGGACAAAAGCAATTATAAAGGCTCATATGTATGTTTTCAAAACAAGATGATTTCACATTCACACCATCTCTTGGGTATATACTCCTTTAAATTAACACTTACCATAAGTTATATGATAAGGAAAAAAAATATTGAGATGTAAAATAAATTTAAAAACTAGAGAATAAAAATCAAGTTTTTTCATGTCTCAAATGTGTTTTTTTACAAAACTAATAGTTATATTTTTCACACCAGTAAGTTTTCAAACATGCTATTATTACATTTTAGTACACAAATCAAGTTGTACTATATATTATATATTCCTATAAAGAACAAAAATGATATATATTGGCAGAGACATACATGTACTCATCAAGTTGTCATCACCTTAATCATTGAAGAACTGAATAAACTATTACCCGCATAACATAACTGTAACACCCCCTCCCTAACTCTTACTTTAATTTTGTTGTATTCTCAGCTTTCCCTCTTATCACTTTAACACCATGTTTATGAGCAAACATTGTTATGATTCTACTAATATGATCACGAAAGAAAATATGAGCAAGAAGTGGGAATTAAGAAAGATTTTGTGAACAAAAATAGAAGAGGCCATGCAGAACAAAACAAATATTTCTAATTAACCACATAAATTAACATGATCAAGAAAGGATGATATATATATATATATAAGTAAATAAAACATGTATATAGATATAGATATATATACCAGGGAGTTGCCATGGCTCGCACGTGTGCAAGTCAATATCCATCAAGGTACCCTTGAGAACTTCCTCATTTGTGACCTTTTTGTAAAGATAATGAAGGACCAACTCCTCATCACTCGGATAGAACCGAAACCCAGGGGGCAGTGAAGCACCAATGTCTCTTAGACCCATTTTGAAGGCAGAGCAAAGAGAGAGTAGAGAGAGAGAGAGAGAGAGAGGGAAATCTAATTGAGATTTTTTGAAATTTTTTAGATGGATAGAGAGGTTTGTGGATATATATGGTAGAGGTGGATATGGAAATGTGGAAAATCAAAATAATTGGAAGCTTAAATTGAGAGGTTACTCCCTCTGGATATTTGAAATATTAAGGTATTATGGCAGAAAAGGTTGGTATGGCGTATATATATAGATAGGATGGTAAGAGACTTTGCCATATAAAATTTCTTTACTACAATATTCAGGCAGGGCCATGCTTGTGTAACTGGTTGGAAATATAGTAAGAAGTTTCAAGAAATACCAAAGTTACAAGAAAGCATCTAATAACTAATAAGGGTGGAATGATTGATTTATTTTCTGCAAAATATACGGGAAAAAGAAAAAGGCCAAATGTAAAATTCACAGAAACCCTCCAAAATACCCCTTTTATTTGTATTATCTTTTTTCCCATTATGTATCTTCCGCTAGAAGAAAACGTGTTTGATGTACTTTTTATGAATATATATGTGTATATATATAATCTTTTATAACTAGGACCTTAAAAATTTATCTTGAAATTCACATAAAGGCATGTTTGTTTAATTACGAGAATGATTTAGTTGTAAACCGTATTTTTGTATCTATCCAATGACATGGCTATTCTGATAATCATTTTCGCCTACTTTTCCTTAATGACGTTCATCGATCAACTTTCGTTGCATCTCGTTAAAAAGGTTCGGCCCAAAATGTCAAGCAATGAGACCTCATTGGTAGTAAGTCCAACACTTTTCCGGTTTTGTTAGTATTTAATTAATTAACTAATGGTGTGTTTTAAATTTCTTTAATTGGAGTGCACTGAAGGAAGGAAATTACTTGTGGATCATCCCAAAATCACGTTTTTCGTTTTTTTCCTTCTAGTACTTTTGCGGGACTCTCTTTTTGCATGTTGAATCTTTCTCCATGGGGGCATTAAAAAAACTCTGATCCTCTTCATAAAGGACAAGTGTGGCTCCATCTATTTGTTTTATTGGTTAGGTTGGCAAACACATAGGAAAGCTCCACAGTAGGCAGTCACAAACCATATAAGTTTATGAAGTAGCTAGTACTTAGCAGCCATATATATAATAGGGTCTATAATTAATATGTTCATGCTTGTAATTAATGAATGGAAGTATATCAATTAAGATTCAATTGACAACACTTGAGGGTTTTGATTAACCTCTTGAATAAAGGTGAACATGGACAGCTCCGAGAAAAAAACACAGCAAATAATTCATGTATGGATAGCTGGAATTAGAATTTAATGCCAATCATGAACTTGGGAAGTCCCATATGTTCCATTTTGGATCACAGAATAACAGTTTGGAATGATGTGCGTCTTGTGGGGCACCAAAATTGTCTTCGATCTGGGGTCCGCAAAGGACCTAATTATAAGGCCATGTTCCATTCTAGTTTATCTCAATTTTAATTTCTAGTATGTGATTTTTTATTTTTTATTTGTTTCGGGGTGATGGGGATGCTATATATGCTATGCTAGCAGGAGCAATAATAATATAGATGCGGACAAAATTGGTATTTGTCACAACGTGTATAATCATCTAAATTAATTATGATAATGAAGGGAGTATATATGGTAGACGATGACTCCACTGGGTCCCTCACCTCTCTTCTTCAACTATTTGATCATACATATACTTAAATAATATAAACACATATCTTCAACTGTTTAATCATACATACAATTATTAATTAAAAAAATTATACATATTTTAAACCATAGTCTATTTTTTTTTATAAATAATTTGATTTTGTACTTAAGGTTTAATTTGGAGGAAAATAATAGAGCTCTGATCACGATTCACGAGCACTGTATGTATGAATGTGACAAAAGGAGAACAAACATAGTATCATGATCCAATACGTATACACATATTATTAGTATAAATTAAAAGGACGGGGAATATAAGAAGCATGATACAGCAAGATTACTTGTAAAATTGGTCACTTTTCAATTTTCATTTTCAGATGATATATATGGACCTTTTTCGGCATTGCAAGAAATGGGAACTGAGTGGTCCCAAAGGTGAAGAAGTTAAGTGGGGACAATGATCCAGTTATTGAAAGGGGGAACTGAGGCCATTAATCTTACAATATGATCCTGTCGGGGAAACAGTGCCTCGTGTAATTAGAGATTACTCTCTGCATATTTTAAGGTAAGGATTAAGGAGCTAGCTAGAGAAACTAGAAAAATGTTGAATAGTTAACATTAATTAAGGTAACATTAATTCATAAAGCGCAAGCGCGGTGGCAGTCGTCAAGATTTGGCATGCACTTAACTTAAAATAATAGAGTATGGGTAGAAGTGTTACGCAAAGTGAAAAGACGATTAATGGGAATAATTAACATAGATAACTTGTTAATTAACGATATGTGTTGAGACCTAAATCAACGGGGAGTCGAGGACACATGTGGTTTCAACACCACATATTGAAGGTACACGTCATTGCTAGGGCTTGACGTAGAAGATTATTCTAAAATAACATTATGACTATCTCAACCAAGGATATAGAAGATGATTGTGAAGGTTAGGGTTTTTGTCTAAGGATGGAACTTTGTTAGGTGAAGAAGAGGAAGATGGATCCATGTTGGAGAATGAGTGACGGCTTCATATTCCTCTCCTCTCTTTCAGGGGCAATAATTTATTTCTTCCAATGTGTGTCTTTTAAGTATGTTCTTTTTCCTTACTCTTTTTTTTTATTATATATATATAAATACAAATAATATCATTGGAATCTAGAATTCATAATCTCTGATTTAATTCAACTCTCTCTAATATGTATCACATTGTTTTATCCGATAAGCATGCATGATTTTCTCACTATTATTATTAATCAGTGTTTGTGTCTCGAGGTTTTTTATCAGTCAATCAACACTGGCCAATCAATTATAGCCATGTCAACATAAAGCCACGCGCATACCCTCATGCAATTCTCCTTCGCCTAACTATATATGTCATATATATTAATTAGTGAGAGCCAACAAATATATATTGTATTACATATTTTTATTTTCATCAGGATTGCATGACAAGAAAACCTTTTTACTTATTAAAATACAGTTAGTACTTAATTAATTAACACGGTATAGTATATATATGGCATTATTTTGATATATAATTAATCTTCTCTTTCTTCATCCTTCTGTACCATGTGAGAAAAATGATAAACTGTACCAACAACGAACGCTATTATGATTGGTTAATTAATATTCTTAATTTTACATCTTCATTTCTGTCTCTTTGTTTATAAATATGACATCTGTATTTGAGTATTTCATACTATTTGTGGAAATATTCCTTCATATTAAACTAAATAGCAGTTCTGATTTTTCTTTTTTTTTTTTTCCTTTTCCTTTCTTCTTCTATATGCATTTGCGGGTGTCTCATGCTCTCATAACCGTTTTAATTTTGATCTAAATTAAATCGTATTAAGGATACGGCTTGAAATAAAAAATAAAAAAAAAGCTTATTAATAATATATATATATATAATAAATTTGCTGATTTTTTAACTAGACACTATCTTAATAAAAATGGATTTTGATCATTTGAGACAGATTTTTAAAAATAACATTACATAACAATTAGATTCAAACATTTTTTTTATTAGAATACACGTAATCTTAAGTTTGAATTTGATATTATCATTGTAATTATGATAAATGAAGAAAATAATTTTATTTAAAACATAAATCACAGTAATAAATGTCGAAACTAAATTTTTAATTCATTTTTTCAATCCTTATTATTAGGTGGTTCCTAATAATAATTCACTAGAAACCTACTTAAAAGTTAAAACTTTTATTTTCATATATATACTTGAATCTGAAATTTGGCTTCTTATCTAATCATCTATATATAGAGAGATTTAACGACTTTTGATGGCAATTAAGTGCCTCCTGGGTCTGCAATTTACCAGATTAATTATAAGCACTTTAAAGTTTAAACTGATATAGGGATACGTTGTTTTACAATAGAAAAGAAGGATTGGTAGCAATTAATCGGATTCCAAGATTATGCTGAACCAGAATGAATAATATATTATTAAGATAACGTTTCCTGCACAACTTTAAGCACAAATATGGGCATCTTTTGCACTTGGATTACACAGGGCACTTTTAGAAAGATGAGTATCTATTCACTTTATATATTACGCGCTTTTTTGAAAATGTTGCTGTTTTCTTGATTAGATCGTGAATTCATAACTGGCCATTACTTTACCCCAACATTATCATCACGAAAGTAACTTGCTTTCTTTTAAAAGAATCAACCCAAAATAGTTTTCTTTCGTACTTCGGATTCAACAAAGTTACTTCCTCTCTCTCTCTCACATTAATACGTGACATTTCTTCCTTTTACATTGTTTTGCTTTGGGTCGTTTATATTGTGTGTACTTCCATAAAAGGCCCAAAGTTTATCAACAATGTTATTTCACCACAAGCAAATTCATTCGAAAGTGCAAGGTGATGTTTATATATTTACCCAAATTAGAAAAGATGAATAAACATTCTTTTTTCTCAATTCAATAAGAAGAACCAAAGCTTGTTTAACTTTTGTTAATTAGTGGTATGTATCTAATCAAATCCTTTAAGAATTATCATTAACTATGAAAAGAACCAGCTAGCTATATAGAATCTTTAGCTATGGCTCTTTGTCAAAAGCTATGGTAGCATGCCTTTTATTAGTTTAGCAACATTGTAAGGAAATCCACCATCATAAGGAATTTTACACAGCACCAAAAAATCTTATTATTTGTGAATGAGATCGATGGCTCTCTTAAATGGATAAACGATTCGTCAGACCCACGATTTAGAACTTTATGTCATTTTCAATTTTAATATATTGGTACCGTCGATTTGAAAATAAGAATTGGAAAAAAAAATAAATAAAATTATAACGAAACAACATCCAAAGATTCTTCTGATAACTTGAAAATGCAGGAAATTGATTTCTACAAGTATAAGCATCATCAATCATCTATACAGTCCTCGAATGTGATTGGATATCATTAAGAAATAACACGCGGATCATATTTAATAATGAAACTTGACAATCATTTATTATTTATTAAATTAATACAAATCTAGATTTTTTTTTTATCAATAAAAAAGATTACTATGGCCGCAATGAAAATTGCATTTAAGTCTTTATGCATTTACATGTATCCAATCATCACTAGAGTGACCTAATGA